CGCCGCCGCCGCAACCTCGGACGCCGCCGGCGCCGCAACCTCGGACGCCTGGTGGACGCGGCGGCGCCTGCGGGAGCTGCTGCCGGCGGTGGAGCGCGGCAACGCGGCGGTGAAGCACGCCCTCAAGGAGCTGCACTGGGAGGCCGCGGGCGGCGGCGGCAGGTGGGGCCGCCGGAGCGCATGAGGGTCGGTCTGGGAAATGTCACGCTTGTCGGCTTGTCGTCTCATGTCCTGTGCCGGCTGCTGCCATTGCCGTCGCCTCGAGTCCTCGTTGCCCCTGCCTCGCTAAACTCACACGCCCGTGTTGCCGCCCCTGTCGCCACCGCCCCATCCCTGCAGCCGCCCCACGGGCGTGGAGGCGGCCCTCCTGCGGAACCCCACCCTGACGGGCTGGGGCGTCGCCGCGCTGGCCGCAGCAGCTTTCTTGTTCGGCCACGTGGCCGGCTGGTGAAGGCATGCGTAAAGCAAGGCCGACGCCCAGCCGACCCCGCGGCTGCATGCAGCTGCGCACCATGTGCGATTCACGCGCGACCATTGCTCTGGCTGCTGGTATGTTAGTGTAGGCTGCCACCCTCGCAACCGCAGAAACAGCACTAGCGCTAGTAACACATCAAGAACTGCCTAAAAAAGCCTGGCACATCCTGGTGCGATTGCAGCGCTGAAGGCGTTCCTCACGCTACACGTGCCGCGCCTGCAAACCGCACAGCGCTGAGCGCGCCCAGCAGGAACTGCAGGCCTAGGAACCCAATTGATACAGCATTTATCAGCTCTTCCACTTTCAAGCTGCAGTCGAGGGGCGAGGGCGCAGGGGGAGCAGAGCGCACATGAGCCAGGTCAGCACCTGCGCGCAGAGGGGCAGCCGCCCGCCCGGTGCGCGCAGCGTATAACGGCTGCACCACGTTCGCCTTGGAACTGCATAGCGGCCGCACATGCTGCTGCTGCTGCAGCGGGGACAGCGATGTGCCCAGCGCCCCGGGGGTTCCGATTGAAGGGTCACTCACACGAAGGTCTGGAAGCGCATGTAGTAGACCAGGAAGGCCACCACAGGCAGCGCCAGGAGCAGGCTAAATAGCAGCGGCCCGGGCTGCTCTGTCTTGTTGCCCTTAGACCCCAGGAACAGCCTCACGGGCTCCACCAGCAGCCACAGCCACAGGAAGACGAACTCCGCGGCAAACCTGCCGTTTGGGTATGGCAGTGTGCTGCCTGTGTAGCATGGGTCACAGTGGGATGGGCGGTGGCTGGGTTGGTTGGGGCCCTTGAATGGCTACCTACGCAGGCCTATTGGCAGCAGCGTGGCCAAGCACCCCGCAACCCCAATGCACAACAAGGGCCCTCTCACCCTGCTGCATGCGTCCAAGGATGCGGCCCAATGTGCAAACCGCCTAATGGCTCACCTTTGTAGATGAACACTACAATGCTAATCAGCCAGAAGAGCACGTCCCACCAGCCACCAAAGTATATGAACACCTGCAGCGGCAGCGACGTCAGCACCGGCCGCGCCCGCGCCGTGCCTGCACGTATTGAGAGTTTGCGCCGCGCGTCAGGGACGAGCACTGTCAAAGGGAGGCTTGATGTGGCATTCCATTATCATGCCATTCAATTGCAATCCCATTGATCCCGCTGCGGCGCTTGTCCAGACGTGCGCAGCAGCGCTCCGCTGGTCAACACCAGACTTCAGACCTGGCTGCATGCTTCTGCCAGATGCTAGTGGACCTTTGATAGATCAAGACAATTTTATTGGTATGGATTACACTCTTGCAGGCTGCAAAGCTAGGTCAGCAATCAAGGCCGCGGGTGATCTAGAAAGCGAGGTTGCGGATATATGCAAAAATCAGTTTAATGGACATACTCCTTGCCACACACCTCTGCGAACACTACCCAACAAACATGCTGCGTGCCGGAGAGGGCAACCAGCAGTCACCGGACCTGATTGTGGAATGAGCGAGCAGAATGCGGCCCGCATAGCATGCTTAGGAGCGTGGTGGCGTTCTCAAGCCTTGAAACCCACGCATTAGCGCATAGACATTGGCAGCTTGGCACGGGCAGTCGAGATGCAGTCGCTCCAAGGCCGCTGCCTGCGCGGCCCGGCTGCTTTTCGTGGCCAGAGCCGGCGCATGAGGATCGTTGCAGCAGCCACTGCTGTCGAGGGCGGCCGCAAGACCAAGAAGCAGCTCGTCTTCCCCTTCGTCAAGATACAGGGGCAAGATGAGATGAAGATGGCGCTGCTGCTGAACGTGGTGGATCCCAACATTGGCGGCGTGCTTGTCATGGGCGACAGGGGGACGGCCAAGTCTGTCGGGGTGCGAAGGGCGATGGAGGAAGGATCGTCACAGGGGTGTGGTGTGCGCGTGTGCACGCGCACACACGCAGGCGTCGAGTTGCTGCTGTGACGCAGTGAGGTCGCACCGACCTGCTGCCCACCTTGTCTGCCCTACTGTGAACATTGTGAATAACACAGCAGAGGATGGTAGAGGCTGCATCTTCCCTCGGTCACGCAACGCCCACATTCCGGCGAGCACCCCGCGCGCAACACCACACACGACCCATGTACGGCCCGCGCCCGCCGCCGCGCCCGCCCCTTCCTGCGCCGCCGCGCAGGTGCGCGCCGTCGCGCAGCTGCTGCCGCAGATCGACGTGGTGGAGGGCGACCCCTTCAACTCCAGCCCCACCGACCCCAAGCTGATGGGCCCCGACGCGCTGCAGCGGTTCCGCAACGGCGAGAGGCTGCCCGCGACGACGATGCGCACGCCGCTGGTGGAGCTGCCGCTGGGCGCGACGGAGGACCGGATCTGCGGCACCATCGACATTGAGAAGGCGCTCACAGAGGGCATCAAGGCGTACGAGCCCGGCCTGCTGGTGGGCGAGAGGCGGGGGTGGAGGG